CTGTACCGTTCCCTAGCATGCCTTACAGAAATTCAGTTGTTTGTGCAACGCTCCTGTGAAGTAAGCTGCCAGTATTATCATAGTAATGCTGAGCCAATGTGGTGAACAGTGTTCCCTCTAAGCTGAGTTAGTGTGAACAGTTTTTTAGCCTCCGGCTCACACATTTTTGTCTTAGCTCAGGAAGGAGGGCTCTAGAGGAAACTAATTTATGCAGCAGCCACATAGCTTGCTTACATCTTTAATGCCAGTAACTCACAAAGTAGAATTTTTGCTCACAGGGCTCCACAGCTTAGAGGGAGCATTGGTGGTGAAGCATTTACAGTCTTAGCGTAGGATCTGGAAGACCCAGGGCCAAGTCCTCACGCATGCCATTGAAGCTTGCTGAGTGACCTTGGGCCAGGCACACACACTCAGCCTGACCTATCTTGCAGGGTCGTTGTGACCGTAAAATGGAGAAGAGAATGGTGTGAGCCCTTTTGGGTCTCCTTTGGGGTGATAAAAACGAAGGGAATAAAGAGTGCAGATAGACAGGAGAAGTCATGGATGGGCCACTCGTACTAGCCACTGGGAAGCTTAAATCTCACCAAGACTGTGTCTGGACTGTACCACTTCAGCCTGGAAATGGGGATCCCATAACTGGATGTTCCTCCACAGAGAAGCTGCTCCCCGCAGAAAACTAGCACATCAGGGTGAGGGCCAGACCAGAACCCTTTCCTTTGACATGCTAGTTTTCCAGGTGCAAGGCATGTTGTTGTATGGAGCAGTGTTCAGTTTCATGAGCCTTGTTCTGTGGTCTGAAGCAGGTTGGCCCAGAGAGCAAGTTTGGTGTCGTGGTTAAGTGCGCGGACTCCAATCTGGGAGAACCGGGTTTGATTCCCCACTCCTCCACTCGCAGCTGCTGGGTGACTTTGGGCAAGCCACAGTTCTGTCAGAGCTGTCCTTGAAAAAGAGCCGTTTCTGTCACAGCTCTCTCAGCCCCACCTCCCTCACAGGGAGGGGAAGGAAAAGGAGTTTGTAAGCCTCTCTGAGACTCCTCTGGGTAGTGAAGGGCGGGGTATAAATCCAATCTCCTCTTCTCCTTGTCCTCCGTCTTGGTGAGATCTGGGCTTGAGCCTCCGTGGCTGAGAAAGGGGGCCCGGGGGCCGCAGCAGATCACCTTCCAGGCTGGCAGGCTGTTTCTCAGCGGTTCTGTTTGGCCCCTGGAAGGAGCCCAGAATCCCTTGGGAAGCAAGACTGCGGAGGCCGCCTCAGTCTCTGCCGCTGAAGGAAGGAAGGAGGGCGCAGGTCGTTGAGCGATATCAGAGGATTGGGTTGGGGTAGAGCTGGAGGTGCTAGAGGGGAGGGGTCTGGGAATAAGCCAGCTGTCTCTCTGTGTCCACCCAAATCGAAACGTAAGGGAAGCCCTGAACTGTGCCATGGAACAGATCACATCCAATGCTCCCTCTAAGCTGTGGAGTCTTGTGAGCAAAAATTCTACCTTGTGAGCTTCTGGCATTAAAGCTGTGAGCGCGCAATTTGGCTGCTGCCTAAATTAGTGTGCTCTGGAGCCCTCCTTGCTGAGCAGAGACAAAAATGTGTGAGCCAGAGACTAAAAGACTGCGAGCTAGCTCACACTAACTCAGCTTAGAGGGAACACTGCTCACATCTGTTTTTCCCTGTGCACAAGAAGTCTGTTAACCAGATAGACCATCCGTGTTGGTCTGAAGCAACAGAACGGCGTTTGGGTCCAGTGCGCCTTTGAGACCAGCAAAGTTTAATTCTGGTTATACGCTTTCGTGTGCCTCTGAAGAAGTGTGCGGGGCACGCGAAAGCTTGTACCCAGAATTAAACCTTGTTGGTCTTCAGGTTTTCAAGGCAAGAGACATTCGGAGGTGGTGTTTTTTAATTTTTATTTTTTTATTTATCCTTAGATTTATATCCCGCCCTACCCCAAAGGCTCAGGGCGGCCCTTGCCTGCCTCTGCCTAGCGACCCTGGACTTCCTTGGCGGTCTCCCATCTAAATGCTCATCTGGGCTGACCCTGCTTAGCTTCTGGGATCTGACGAGGTTGGGCTGGCCTGGGCTGTCCCTAGCCCAGTGCTTGGGTGGCTCCTCCACATCTCCATGCCATCATAGCGGAACAGGGTTAACCTGCATGCAGATTCTGAGTTAGAGGAGATTCTTTTCAGGTTGGCAAGGCTTGGGCTGGTGTGTGCTGAAGCACAGAGACTTCCCTCCCTCCCGGCCACTAAACCACATGGATTTGTGGGAGAATCGTTCGTGTGCGCATGTCAGGGCTGCCAGTCTCCAGGTGGGGCACGGAGATGTGCAAGAATTACAGCTGAACTCCCGACAAGAGAGATCAGTACCCCTGGCGGAAACAGCAGCGAACTACGCTGGTTTGGTGTCGTGGTTAAGTGCGCAGACTCTAATCTGGGAGAACCGGGTTTGATTCCCCACTCTTCCACTCGCACCTGCTGGATGACCTTGGGCAAGCCATAGTTCTGTCAGAGCTGTCCTTGAAAGGGCTCTCTCAGCCCCACCCTCCCTCACAGGGTGTCTGTTGTGGGGAAGGAGTTTGTAAGCTGCTCTGAGACTCCGAGTGAAGGGCGGGGTATAAATCCAATCTCTTCTTCCTCCTCCTCTTCTTCTTCTTCCTCCTCTTCTTCTTCTTCCTCCTCCTCCTCCTCCTCATCTTCTTCTGCAGTATAACCTCCACGGGGTGGTGGAGTCAGCTCTCTGTCTGTTCCCGCAGCACCTGGAAAAGATAAAGCAGTCACTTCCTGCAGCAGAGTGACGCCTGCCCATCTTGTTGTGCGAGGAGTGGTCTCAAGCAGGGCTCCCTCTAAACTCCCTGAGAGCCAGTTTGGTGTAGTGGTTAAGTGGGAGTGGTTAATCTGGGAGAACCGGGTTTGATTCCCCACTCCTCCACTTGCACCTGGCTGGATGACCTTGGGCAAGCCGTGGTTCTGACAAGAGCAGTCCTTGGAAAAAGAGCCGTTTCTGTCAAGAGCTCTCTCAGCCCCGCCTCCCTCACAGGCAGTGTTCCCTCTAAGCTGAGTTAGTGTGAGCTAGCTCACAGTTTTTTAGCCTCCAGCTCACACATTTTTGTCTTAGCTCAGGGAGGAGGGCTCCAGAGCAAACTAATTTATGCAGCAGCCAAATCGCTTGCTCACAACTTTAATGCCAGTGGCTCACAAAGTAGAATTTTTGCTCACAAGACTCCACAGCTTAGATGGAGCATTGCTCCCAGGGTGTCTGTTGGTGGGGAGGGGAAGGGAAAGGAGTTTGTGAGCCGCTCTGAGACACCTTTGGGTAGTGAAGGGCGGGGTTATAAATCCAATCTCTTCTTCTCTTCTTCTTCTTCCTCCTCCTCCTTGTCTTCTTCTTCTTCTGCAGTATAACCTCTCCTCCCCGAACCTGCCTTCCCAGTTCCGTCCCCAAGTCTCCAGGGAATTATCAGCCCGGAGTTGGCAACTCTAGTGCATGCCCCCATCCCTGATGTTGCTCTTTCCTTCTTGCCGTTTAGCAGTCAGTCCACAAATATACATGCCGCTATAGATATAAGATCAGTGTAAAATCTGACCCATCTGGGCCTGGACTTCCAGATGTTGCACTGAGACTCAGAGGGCGGGGGGGGGGGCGGATAGCCAGTCCTCAGTGTGACGTTGAAGAAGAGAGCCTGCCATGGGGAGTGGGGGGGGGGAAGAGACGGTCGGTGTCAGTGTTTGGCATGCTCTTATCACGGTGTGGGGCCCCTCCCTGAAGCAAGGGAAGCCAACCCAGGCCAAGAAGAAGAAGAAGAGATTGGATTTAGACCCCGCCCTTCACTTGGAGTCTCAGAGCGGCTTACAAACTCCTTTCCCTCCCCCTCCCCACAACAGACACCCTGTGAGGTCGGTGGGGCTGAGAGAGCTCTGACAGAAACTGCTCTTTTTCAAGGACAGCTGTGCCAGAGCTTGTGACTGACCCAAGGTCACATCAGCAGGTGCAAGTGGAGGAGTGGGGAATCAAACCCGGTTCTCCCAGATTAGAGTCCGCACACTTAACCACTACACCAGACCAGGTTGGTCTCGCGGGGGCTCCACGGCTGCGTGACCACACACAGGACTGCAGCCTTCTTGTGCTGCTCTCTGGCTCCCGTCTGCGGAGAGGAGGGGGAGAAGCCACTGCGGTGCCCCCTTCTCCCCCCCCCCCACGGCATATCTTTGCAAAGCAGCTGCTTGGCGTTTGCTCTGGGAGCCGCCGTCTTGGAGGTGGTGTGTGCTGCCAAGTGATAAGAGTGTCTTGTCAAGGTTAGCTGTACTGACTGCAGATTGATTGGTGGTGGTGGTGGTGGGGGATATGAGAGCAATCACAGCCTCTCTTCTGCCTCCCAGAGAGGTCATGGGGGAAGAGGATGGTTCTGCAGGAAGACACCGGCATCGATTGGGACACCTGGGGTCCATTCTGCTCGTGGCGAAGTTTTCCTTTGAGGTGCAGTGCCTTCTGCCGGTGTGAGGGCCCCCTTGTGCCAGAGGAAGCCAAGCCACCAGCATCAGCTGAGTTGGGCCTGTAGGGTCCAACCAATGGGAATTATTTTTAGGCAAACACAGATTGATGCAGTCACCAACTCTCTGGCACCTTCATCCCCGGCTAGCGCATGCAAGCCGTGTTCGTGGCAAGGCTTTCCCTGCTGCGAGGCCCGGTGCAAAGGCAGCAAAGCCCATCTTGGTTCTCTTCCGTTTTCCAAAATGTCAGCAGTGCTTCTTTCATGCTTGCATCCCCTCTCTGCTGTTAGGCATGCCCCCAAGGCCCCCCACCTCTTTGTTTCACCTTTCCCGAACTGCTGCGTCTCCAGGAAGCAGTCCTCAGCGATACTGACATCATACGAATTGTAAAGGGTTTGGCCTCCCATTCCCACCTCCGCTTCTCCGAATGCTGTCCTAGAAATCTTGTTGGTATGTAAGGTGCTGCTTGGCTCTTAACTCTCCCCTGTGGCTGACTTTCTTTTCTTTCTGGCCCCGTTCCCTGCCAGATTCCATAATGATGAATGGTTCCAACGTGGCCAACACAACCACGACTTCACCCACGCCTGCAAAATCCAAGGAGGACCAGGTAGTGAACGGGCACGATGAAAAGGAGAACAACCCCTTTGCAGAATACATGTGGATGGAGAACGAGGAAGACTTCAACCGGCAGGTAATGAGGCAACCACTGCTTGGTCTGGCTGGTGTCCCAAGTGGTTTTCCCACAATACAATACACACACAACAGTGGAAAACACAGTCAGAAGTCTAAGTCAAATGGCAACTAGAGCTGTGTAACAAACAACACTACAGAAATACACATGATGGTAGTATTCATGATAGACAAAGCAGTAAAGTCCATACATGTGACACCTGACGCTGCCACCACTCTGGTTCCAGGCTCCCTTGAGAAGGCCCAGAGCACCCTCCCAAGACCTTTAGACCTCCCTTTTGGACGAATAATAGGCGTGAGGACCAGGCAGAGTGAAACAAGGAAAATAGTTTATTTTTATAGGAGGTCAAACAAACAAGGTGCAGAATAATAACAGTAAGTGGGTGAAAAGAAAAGAAATCAAATGCCCTAATGCGTCTAAATATATACTGTCCCTAGCTCACTATCCCAAGTGGCCTTAAACTACTCACCCTTCCTTCAGGATGAGGGTCTCTTCCCCACAGCAGCCTCCCTTCTGGCTCTGCCCTCTGGGAAGAAGAACTAGCTTTCCCTGTTGTACCAGTTCTCTTATTCCCCAGCCCTCTTCTTCCTTATTGGTCAAAATCGGCGCCAAGACTTCCCAAGGCCTTCTGGGATTTGTAGGCCCAACCTCCCCTACTGCTAGCCAGGCTCCCTGGGCCTAGTAGGCCTCTGGTGGCACAGCCCAGATCATGACAAGACCCAATAAAGTATAGGTATAACAGAGAAGTCTTCAATTTACATTGCAGGTAGCATAGGAAAGAAGTCTTCAAGTCACATGTAGCAACTAACACATAGAGAAATCAAACAATATATGTTCAATAGAGAACTTATATTGTGACCCCACTGCTGGACCTCCTGACGGCACCTGGTATTTCTGGCCACTGTGTGCCACAGAGTGTTGGACTGGATGGGCCATTGGCCTGATCCAACATTGGCTTCTCTTATGTTCTTCTGTCTGGGGCAAGTGATGCTCTGTCTTCTTGGTGCTTGGGGGGGGGTCAACAGTGGGTGGGCTTCTAGTGTCCTGGCCCCACTGCTGGACCTCCTGATGGAACCTGGTATTTCTGGCCACTGTGTGACACAGAGTGTTGGACTGGATGGGCCTTTGGCCTGATCCAACATTGGCGTCTCTTATGTTCTTAAGTCTTCGATTGCATGTAGCGTATAAATGAGGAATCCAGATATTATAAACTTTGTTTCATTGAACTTCCTCAGTAATGGCAATGGCTAATGTAATTTATACACAAAACTGATTGCATCAGTCTCTGAAGTCATTTGTAAAGACAGTGTTTCCAAAAGGTCTTTGTATTAATGGGCAACCAGTCCTATTCTTTAAGTGGAGCTTGCTTCCATGGTTCTGCAGGGGCAATACAAGGATCTTTTGGAAACACTGTCTTTACATAAGAACATAAGAGAAGCCAGTGTTGGATCAGGCCAGTGGCCCATCTAGTCCAACAGTCTGTGTCACACAGGGGCCAAAAATAACAGGGGCCATCAGGGGGGCCAGGACACTAGAAGCCCTCCCACCGTTGCCCACCCCAAGCACCAAGAATACAGTGCATCACCTGCCCCAACCTGTGAGTTCCTATCTGTACCTTGTGGCTAATAGCCACTGATGGACCTCTGCTCCATATGTTTATCCAGTTCCCTCTTGAAGTTGTCCATGCTTGTAGCCGCCACCACTTCCTGTGGCAGTGAATTCCACGTGTTAATCACTCTTTGGGTGAAGAAGTACTTCCTTTTATCTGTTCTAACCCGACCGCTCAGCAATTTCATAGAGTGCCCACGAGTTCTTGTATTGTGAGAAAGGGAGAAAAGTACCTCTTTCTCTACCTGCTCTTTCCCATGCATAATCTTCTAAACCTCGATCGTGTCACCCCTCAGCTGTCGTTTCTCCAAGCTAAAGAGCCCCAAGCGCTTTAACCTTTCTTCACAGGGAAAGTGTTCCAACCCTTTTATCATTCGAGTTGCCCTTTTCTGCACTTTTTCCAATGCTATAATATCCTTTTTGAGGTGTGGTGACCAGAACTGTACACAGTATTCCAAATGAGGTCGGGCCATCGATTTATACAGGGGCATGATGATACTGGCTGATTTGTTTTCAGTTCCCTTCCTAATAATCCACAGCACAGCATAGTCATGCACTGTCTTGACATTTTCATTGAGTTATCTACCGCGACTCCAAGATCTCTCTCTCGGTCAGTCTCTGCCAGTTCAGACCCCATCAACGTGTATTTATAGTTAGGATTTTTGGCTCCAATGTGCATCACTTTGCACTTGGCCACATTGAATCCCATTTGCCACGTTGACACCCACTCGCCCATCCTCAGCAGATCAAAAAAGAAATCTGCAAAGCCGATCATGTCTCCAGCAGCCAGTGAGAATCTCTGCTGTACAAAAGCCCCACCCAGCCATGACCGCTTTCTGAAGACACTGGGCGGGTGCCTCCTGGAAAGGTGTCTGTGGGCACCACATTGCGGACCCCCGTGTTGGACGCCGATGTGCTGCAAATTCCTTGACTGCCTAGAAACTGCGAGGCAGTGTGGTGGTGACGGTTATAGCGTTGGGCTAGGACCCGGGAGACCTTTGCTCAGCCCGGAGGCTTCCAGGCTCTTAGCCACAAGGTATAGATAGAGGCTCTGGGGCAAGTGATGCTCTGTATTCTTGGTGCTTGGGGGGGGGGTCAACAGTGGGAGGGCTCCTAGTGTCCTGGCCCCACTGGTGGACCTCCTGATGGCACCTGGTATTTCTGGCCACTGTGTGACACGGAGTGTTGGATGGGATGGGCCTTTGGCCTGATCCAACATTGGCGTCTCTTATGTTCTTATGTTCCTGGGTGTCTTTGGGCCAGTCACTCTCTCTCAGCTTGAGAGAGGTTGTGAGGGTGGGGTGGAGGAGGGGAGGACCTGTGTCTTCCTTTATTATTATTCGAACAGTCACAGACCAGATCAAAAATAGGATCCAATACAGATCTGCTACAAATATACTATTAAAATATACATCCAGTTTATAATTGAACTAAGCCATCAATAATATATATATATTAATACAATTATATACATATGGTGATTATGTGAGCCAGTTTGGTGTTGTGGTTAAGTGCGCGGACACTAATCTGGGAGAACCAGGTTTGATTCCCCACTCCTCCACTTGCAGCTGCTGGATGACCTTGGGCAAGCCGTAGTTCTGTCAGAGCTGTTCTTGAAAAAGAGCCGTTTCTGTCAGAGTTCTCCCAGCCCCACCGACCTCACAGGGTGTCTGTTGTGGGGAGGGGAAGGGAAAGGAGTTTGTAAGCCACTCTGAGACTCTCCTCTGGGTAGTGAAGGATGGGGTATAAACCCAGTCTCTTCTTGGTGTAATGTAGTTTGGTGTAGTTGTTAAGTGCGCGAACTCTAATCTGGGAGAACCGGGTTTGATTCACCACTCCTTCACTTGCACCTGCTGAATGACCTTGGGCAAGCCGTAGTTCTGTCAGAGCTGTTCTTGAAAAAGAGCCGTTTCAGTCAGAGCTCTCTCAGCCCCACCGACCTCACCGGGTGTCTGTTGTGGGGAGGGGAAGGGAAAGGAGTTTGCAAGCCGCTCTGAGACACCTTTGGGTAGTGAAGGACGGGGTATAAATCCAATCTGTCCTTCTTCTTCTAATATATACTGGCTCCTCAAAATCAGAAAGCGAAATCTCCCTTTGGTTACTTTAGATGGAGGGGAGAACCTTGTTCACTGACATGCCGAGTTCCTCTTGGTGACCCCCCTCTCTCCAGCGCCCTCTGGCCATAGGGGAAATCGGGGTGAGGGGTCCAAAGAGGGCCCACGGATAGGGGACTGGATGCCCCCCCCCCTAGCCAGCCCGCCAGCCCCCCTTTTCAGCCGCCACCCTCCGTGTTTTCTGCCTCTCTTCCCCTCGCCTTTGTGAGCCTGGAGCTGCCTCAACGCTGTCCTCGGAGGCCAGCCCCCGGAAGCCCCGCCTGGCTTCCCCCAGGCCTTGTCCGCCTGCCAAGCTTGCGATGTGGCAGTGCGGAAGGGGAAGCCTCTGCAGCAGGAGGATTCCTGCCAGCCGAGGATGGGGAAAGAAGGAGGCACCCGCCTTCCTTCCTTTGTGGCTCTCATTGGCCAAGGAGACTTTGCAGAAAACAAGAAACCTGAAACCAGCAGGGAAAGTGGAGGCAGACCTCTGCTGGCTGCCAGAAAGCGGGACGCATAAATATCCAGTGGAGGGAGGAGGAGGAGGAGGAGGCAGCCTCTGGCCGGGCTCTAGAAGCAGGCGCTCCCCTCGTGCCCTCGGCAGTCCCCAGCACGTCCTCTGGGTGGTCCCGAGCATGCTCGGGGCCGTGGATCCTGCCACAGGTCACTGTTCCTTGCCCAGCTGCAGTGGGTTGAGGGGAAGGAACTTGCAAGGGCTCAGGATCATCCAGGGAAGTGGAGAGGTAGCACCCCTGGCAGAAGGGCAGTCCAGGCACCGGACTGAGTCTGCAGGTCACTCTCTGCCCCGCTCTGCCGCTGAGCATTTCTCCTCTGCGCTAATTAAGCCGATTGCAGTGTGCGTCATGCCTCGGCATCCTGAGTTCCTTCTTTGCACACTGCCCCTCCCACCTTCTGACTGGGCTGTCACGAGGAGGAGTCTCAGATCTCCATTCCGACTTGCGTCTGACAAAGGGAGCTTTGGTTTTCAACAGCCCCTACCCCAAAAATCTCCCCACCCCCGAAAAGTTTTATTAGTTTTTCAAAAGTGGAAGAAAAGGAAACCAGAACTACAAAGAGAAAAAGACTTAAGTTATGCACCTAGATCAGTTTAACTTTTTTTTAATAATAGAGCTTATATTTTCAAAGCTATTTTACAGATTTTGTGAGATAATCCTCAATCCATTTATACATCAATTCTTCTCAAAGATTTCTTCTTTTTTATCTTGTAATTGTAAAGTTAATTTGTCCATTTCTGCTGTTTCCAATAAGCTTATACGCTCCTACCCCAAAAATCTTGAGAGA